GCAACTACAAGTAGATAAAACTTAAGGAGATGAATTACAAATAGTATTCATCAAATTTCTTTAATTTATGCTAAGCAATTCAATAATAGAATAACAACCATAATAATTATTGAACATTCATCAGCAAAAGAAAACTCATATGATAATCGCGATAACATATAAATTATACCTTCATATGAAAGGTAAACATTATTTCACAATTTCAAATATATACATGTGAATAACTAAATAAATATCCAAGAACAATAATTATATTTTATTTATCATATGTATAATCAATAATTCATATGAGAAAACTATAAAGTAAATCATAATTTATATTCTTTTTAAACCAAAAATTAAATCCAATCAAATAACCAAAATATAATCATGATTAAATTCAATCATAATTATAATAAATCATATTTATCAATTTGATAATTGTGAATATAAACCAAAAATTTCAATTTCATAATCATAAAACTGTAAATATTTGATAGGATATAAATCGGAAATATGCAATTTATGAATGGTAGAAATGTAATTTGGTAGAAATTAGACCCGAGGGTAAAATTATAAATATGTTGACTGGAATTACAAAATTTGCAAAGAGCAGAACTGTAAGTTTGCAAAACCCTAGCCTCGAGGTCAAAATCATAATTATGACAAAAACCCTAATCTGCCTTGCCGCCGCCGCCGCCTACGCGTGCAGCGTTGCCGCTGCGGTTGAAGGGCTGGTCGTGGCTGTTGCCGCGTCCGTTGCGGTGGCACCTGCCTGCGCGCGGCCGCTACCTCTACCCACGAGGGGCTGCTGCGGGGGTTCCTGCCCACGCGTGGCTGTTGCCAATGTGCGGCCGCCGCTAGTGCGCGGTTGCCACGCCGCGGCGTTGCCCGTGCCCGCATGCAACCGCTGCCGCTACCTGCGCGTGGCTGCCGCGGTTCCCGCCCGCGCTTGGTCGCCGCCTTGGCATGCCCTCTATCCATGGGGGGCAACGGCTACCGCCATCTGCGGCCATCACCCTTCCACAGGCGCCTTCTGTGGGCGCCACCATTATGCGTGAGGGCGACCGTCGCCTTCACACGGGGTGCAGCCGTCGCTTTTCGCGGTCATCGCGTTCACAGGCGGTGCGGGATGCCCGTGGTGCCGCCACCACTCGCAAGCGAACCGCTGCCCGTGCACGATCGTGATGCGCTGCTGCGAGGTGGTACACGGCCCTTCGTCGACAACGATCAACAGAGATGATCGTCTCAATAACATCGATGATAGTAAATAGTAAATTCATCGATCAAACATAAAATTATACATTGCTCATAATCAATAATAGAGCAAATCATATAGAAAAAACAGATCAATAATATCCAACGAATCATTCAAACATCGTAAACAAAAATAATAGATCTAATATATTTGATCTCAAGGACCTAGCATACCAATTGTTAGTATAAAATCTGTAATCATGCTATCTGTAATACGAAAAAACTTTTATGCCAAGATTGAAATCAAATAAATTGGATCTAACAATATTACGATGCATACCTTTCTTGATGCTACTCAGATGCACTCAGATGATGCACTTAGCCCCTAAAGGTCCTGTCTATCTGTCTATTTATATATGAGAGTAGAGAGTCTAGGATAAGTTATTAGGAGAGTTCCTCCCATCAAGGTTATCTCCTAAGAAATCCTACTTTAATATGGATTTCTTTTCTATTGACTAATAACCATAATCAGAATCCAATCATATTTATAATATATCTTACCTAATTAAATAGGGCCACATAATCTAACAAGAAATGTTTATAGGTTGGGATAACATCGTATAGTAGAGAGATGGATATCACAGGACTCGCTTGCTATAGGTGGTGATCCTTGTCATATGACTGATGCGCTTGAGAACGCATAGCAATGAATAAGACCACTGAATCCGGCTCCGAATGCACCATTAGTCAAATGAGATGATTTATAAAAGAGGTAGAAAATATGAGGTGATAGCACAACTGCAAAACAGTATTACCGGAGGGTCATTATGCTTAGGGGTCATAAAATAGATTTATCATTATTTTTGAGAGGTCTTGATCCATATGTATTACCATAACAAATAACTGATAAATTAAATTATGGTTAGCAATTTATTTTCTCATTGTTTATCTCATTATCTTTGGTTTGCAGCAACATCATTATGTCACGACTCTCATTTATCGCGTACAAGACGTCTAATTCTATTAATAATCCTTCATAATCGATAATCTTTAAGAAAAAGTGGAGGGCTGAGAGAGAGAGGAGACCTTGCACTCCTTATCGAGACAAAGACTCGAGAAGTCAAGTTGGCGAGGAAGCTAAATAAGGTTGAGCGATACCTTGTTGATTACAATAGTTGAGAGGGGTCTGAAGCAGCAACCGAAACACGGAGAATAAGTTATTGGGACTTACTTGAGAGTTGGATTTGATGAGGGCCTATAACTCGGAGCTTGTCATGAGCAAGTCATGAGCATTACTGAGTAGGTTCGGGGCCTGAAGGAGGCATTGGAGACCAAGCAATATATGATATCAAGATATTGGGAAGAGACGATTGTCAACTATAAGACCTTTGCCTGGTTCAAGAGGGGCTTGGGGAGATTGAGGGTAGTCTCATATTAATACGGGTACTATATCACCTTAGCCTATTTCAAGACGAGGTATCTTGAAATGGAGCTCGAGGAGGATCTGTTCACAAATAACCCTAAGGATTAGCACATCCCAATAGTGCTCGAAATATCTTTTAACGAAAGTCCTAACTTGCCACCTCGTCACGATGCCTAGCCTGCTACCTCATACTATGGTGGTCTAAGTCGCCAAGTTTGTCTACCCTACTTGTTCCTTGTATCTTCTATTTATGGTATCTTTGAGATTATTTGTTCAATTAGTCAATTATTTTGGTACGTTGGGGCCTCATTTTGGGATGTAAAGGCTCAACGTAGTCAATACAATCCTTTTTAAGGCAATGAAACTTTCTTTCTTTAGCTTGCAACTTGCTTCTTGATGATTCACACTAATGGCTCGACCTCTACCTATTTTGTAAAATAGTCAACTTCAATAATAAGGAACCTTCGTTGGCTCAAGGCCGGCAAAAAAGGCTCAAGAATGTCTATTCCCAATTGGGCAAAGGACTATCTGTAATCGATCAATGTTAAAGGAACTGCTAGTTGATGTTTTATCCATACAAGCCTCTACCACTTGGGGCATCTTTAGGCATAAGCAATTACATCCTTATATAGTATTGGCTAATAGAAACATTGTCAAAGTACTTTGAATGTGAGGGCTCGTTCACCAATATGTTCCCTGCAAATAACCTCGTGTATCTCGACGAGCACCCTCTTAGCCTCTTGGGGTTTCAAGCATCTGAATAATGGTTGACTAAAATGTTGAGAAGTCGTAGAGAGCATCATATACGTAGCGAAAAATAAAAACAAAAATTGATTTCCTAAATCAATTTTATCGAATCATCGTACAAATATCAAGAGCGTAAAACTCAAAAGCGATAAAACCATGTAACTGCATTAAATAGTTGAGATATTCTCACATATGAGAGATTGTATGTCTTCAAATATGCAGATCTCAATCTATGGATGAACGAGCTCTCACAAACTCCTCTTTAACAGTGATCCACATAATAGATGTGGCGATGACGTACCTCCTCTCACAGGACATTCTTTCCTCGCATTCGCGTAGCACCACAACACAACAACTAAGGAGAGATTGATCCCTCTTACTATCCTCTCGTACCAAATAGGGGATAGTTGCCTAGAGGAAGGGGTAAGGAGGAGATGAAAGAGGTGGCGATAATAGGGGTCTAACCTATAATCTCTTTAAGCCCCAACTCTTATATATAAAGAGCCCTCTTTACTTACTCTAATATATTATGCCTTAATGGGTATTGGATCTTTATCAAATTATCCTAGTTTAATAGATATTGGATCCTCATCTAATAACAATTCTAAGATCTATTGGGCCTCACCTAATAGATCCAATAAAATAGTGACTTAATGGATATCTCATATACAATCCTTTACCCATCGCGTTGTACACCATATGTGTATGACCCTCTAGTTAATACTTGTTAGAACTTCTTCTAAATTAGTGAATTATTATTCACATAATAATTTACTAAACTCATCTATTGGACTTGTCTACTCTCAATTATCGTATATCTATAGTCTCTCATCCATCTAATACCTTATACATCATATATCATGTTGCTATCAAGCCCATATGAGATCTATCTGAGTCTCACTCTTAATCAGATTCTCCTAAAGAACTCATTTCTCAATCCAAGTCTCATGCTTATTAGATTCATCATGATTCGATTGACGATAGCAAGGGATTTGCTTGAGTGAGAATATACGAGATATTCTTCTCATGATACCGAGAGTGGATGATCCTCTATTGACACTCAATTGTCTTCGTAAGGTTGACTGTTATTCATAATAACTATTTATACTAGACCCGAAACCTCTAGACCTATAAGTCCAATATCAAAGAACGGAGTACTTAAACAAAACATTATTTGTATCTCAAGTCTAAGGACTAGATATACAAATGAGACTACAGAATCATTGTTTGATAATAGGATATCATTAACCATCTAGCATTCCAAAAACGGATCATTTAGTGAATTCATTCTCCAATGAACATATGTCCTATATCCCTAGTGTTCCCACATGAAAAACTATGATTAACTGCCTTTAACATATGGACAGGTATATAACACATCGGTCTGTCCGGTTATCTCGATGTCCCTCTCGAGTAACCTATGATCAAGAATATTTATGATATGTGTTTAAAAATAAATTAATCTTATTATTATAATATCATGATGATTTAATTCTTATTATATAAATACAAGGATATCACAATATATATATTAATCAATCAATATAAAGTGAGAAAATAACATAATAATAATAACAAAAAATATTATACCAACGTAACATTACTCACAACAAGAAGGCAGATACATCAAATTTATAAAAATGCAATACTCAAATTTATAAAAATGCAATACTGCAACATTGCATCAAATCATCTTTATCCAAACGTCACTTGTTCCCAAAGGCAATAAGTGAAGTGATAAGGTAAACTATAGATGACCTAATCACAAAAATATGCAGCTAAATTTAAAGTACAACCCGAACGCACTTATGTAGAACTAGGATTGCTAATGATCCTGTTTATAAATGGCTACATAGCATCCTTGGACAAGAAACTGTTGGCCTCGACCTGCCTGGCATTGGTGAGCTGATCCACGACGTCTCCATGCTCAAACACAGCTGCAGCTCCCATACCAGAACCTGCCATGGTTTATGAAGGAATTAGATACATTGCTTTAGGAGCACAAAGAGATTAGGGGCATAGGCACAATGTGTTAGCCTCACCTATGCACATTGAAATGACTCCAAACCGGCAATCCTTGCCTCTTCGTTTCATCTCATTTAGAAGTGTGCTCACACATCGGGCACCTTCAACATGGGACAAGAAAGTAGAGAAAAGATGCGTTCAATCTCCACGAAAGAAAAAGGAGTTAAGAGCATCGCTAATGATGTGGGCATATATGCATTAAGTACCTGTAGCACCCAAGGGATGTCCGAGAGCAATAGCACCTCCATTGACATTTACTTTCTCAGGATCCAACTCCAGTTTTTTGCAGCAATACACAAATTGAGAAGCAAAAGCCTAGAAAAAAAAAAAAAGAGTTTTTTGCTTCGTAAATTTTTACAATGCGTTTAGATTTAAGCCCTAGACTATTACCTCATTTATTTCAAAGATGTCGATGTCATCAGGCTGAAGGCCAGCAGCCCTCACTGCAGCAGGAATTGCAACAGCAGGACCAATGCCCATTACACCAGGTTCCACTCCAACTGCTGCAAAACTCCTGCTTACACAAATTCCATCGCTTATTAAAAGGTTGAATCACTTGAATTAGTGTACCGAGTTAAATGTCAAAATGATAAGCTAGATACAACAAGAATTTAACTTACAATGAAAATTTCGATTTTACATGAAATCAACTGATGCTAAGGAAACAATTGATTCTTAAAGTACCATGTGATCTGTTACAATATTTGAAACAGGCCAACCATTATGTTCCTTATAAGGTTGCTATATGATCAATATTTGGTAATGGAAAATGATGGAATCAAACAGAAACAGAATCAATATTAGACAACACCCTCACTAGATCACACACACACAAACAGAACATCTATATATTGAACTATATATGGTCGGGGACTAAATTTTTCTATGGCAATTTAATAACTTGGACAAACAAAAAATTTAGCACATGGTGACACTGCATGCAGTATCAAAGAACAGACCTAAATACACCCAGTATTGGGAGCCCCTTTTGCATTGCTACATCCCTTCTCATGAGAAGGACTGCTCCGGCACCATCACTCACTTGACTAGCATTGCCTGCACATATGCATCAATTTTAATATGCACAGGGAAAGAGTAGGTTAAGGAAACAGTATACACGGAATATATGCTAATAATACCAGCAGTAGTGCTTCCATCCTTCTTGAATGCTGGTTTAAGTTTTGCAAGGACTGACATCGATGTATCCAGACGAATTCCGTCATCTACAGAAATTGTTACTCGCTTGTGCTCTCCAGTTTTTGGGTCTACGATCTTCAGAAGGAAATAATGTGGAATCAAAATTAAGACTAGTGATAACATAAGGAGAAAATGGTTATGGAACCTGAAATAGACGTGACAAATTCAGTACTTCATTGTTTCTATAACATGTACAATTATTTTTCCCTATTATTCATGTTAAAGGTCAAATGCTATCGTGGCATCCTATGTTTCAGCAAAATCCATTTGAATAATTGGCCCTTTTTCCTGCAAAATCTTTTTTATTCTCGACTTCTTATTCCTTTTTTTTTTTCCATAAGGTGTTAAACTACTTATAACAGAAATATATTCGGTTTTGGGTACCTTTGTAACTACAGGAATGATTTCCTCCTTAAATTTCCCAGCAGCAGTTGCTGCAGCTGCCCGCCTATGAGATTCAACCTAAACATAGAACAAAATTATAAGAACAAAACTTGACATATGGAATCTCTTAGATGGATAGTAAAACAATAGCCACAAAACTCACAGCAGCATAATCTTGCTCCTGCCTTGTTATGCCATAACGGTCTGCAACATTCTCTGATGTAATGCCCATTGGAAGTAGGCAGTCTCGGGCTTGTGGAAACGTCTCCGCCTGAAGCATATGAAGTAGATGTTTGATGCAAAAGGATCTTCACAAAGTCTATTTTTTTGAAGTGCTGCTAAAACATAAATACAAGAAGCAATTGCAATTTAGTGCAAGTTATACTTTGGGGTTAACAGGCCCATTCAGACCAACTGAATTTACGGTCATTGATTCCAACCCTGCACCAATGCCTGCATAAGTAATAAAGAGTCAATAAAACTAAAAGATCATCCAGAAATTTTCAGAATCATGAAAACCACAGGAAGACTTACCGATATCATAAAAACCGGCTTTTATAGCAGCAGCAACATCAGCAACAGCCTGAAGGCCAGACGAACATTGCCTGTTCACAGTTCTGAGTGGGACGGTATCTGCTTTTCAGGAAAGAATATTGTAAGACAGGAAAATTTGGTGAAGCCATGACAAATGTAAAGCCCATGGAAATCAAACAACCAGGAAATCCAGCATAAAATGCTGCCATCCTGCACTCAATTGCCCTTTGAGATCCTGGTGCCAGTACAGTGCCAACAACAATATCACCAACTTCGCTCGGGTTTAGTTGAGTCTTATCCAACAATGCCTAGAGTACAAAATGTGGAACTCTCATCAAGAAAATTCATATCTAACTAAAAGCAATGCTTTCAATGACATCTAAATGAAGCATTTTCTATTTTAACTAAGTCATTTCACATCAGCAATTAGCATGGCAGGGAAAAAAACAATGCATCAGACCTTAAGAACAGGTGCTAGCAGGTCCTCCGGGTGTGTATCCTTGAAGCCCCCTCTTTTGGACTTGCAAATAGCAGTTCGGCAAGCACTATCTTGCATGAAAAATACAAAAAAAAAAGGAATAAGCAAGATAATTGAAAAAATTGTGATGAAGAGCCAAATGATGTAGAACAAGGTTGAGTCTTCTCTCCCTATACAGATATTATGTTTGCTGCACATCATGGTATAGAAAATTCTATCAACCCAGATCTGGATCAATTGATCGGTATAGGGATACGCCAACATTGAACCACCGAGCCAGTGATTTATAATAGTCTGCTATGGACATTTAGCTTCCAAATTTTCCCAGATGTATAGTAGAATTATTTGAGTCAAATATCTTCACCTTGTTGCATATCAAAATAATATTGGATTTCTTACTATGATTCACACACGTTACCTCTCTCAGAAATTGAGGTCACAGAAAAAACTTTTGTAAGAGTAAACATTAATGAAAAGTCAGCTTGACTAAATTGTGTTGTTGTTACTATCATAAAGGCATGAACATACTGGAAGAATAACAGGGCATCTTAAGGCACACATTAAAGGCCATGCTTGAACTTTGTTTCAGAAGACGTTAAAGGGAAGCATGCGCGCGCGCTCACACACACAAAGGAATCTTCAGACTACATTGGGTTCAAAACACTAGGTGGTAAAAGAAAATATGCAAAGGTGATCAGTAAAAAAGATGAGACTTTTTGTCAATCATGATGCAGTTTCTAATTAACCTTTCTCGTGTATTATGATGAATGACCCATGAAAGATTCTTCTTTCTCCAACAAGGACAACACAAATTCACATTGCCCCTTGAGCAAAACAGAGAAAAAGAGGGATTTTTAGGGCATAACCAAAGCGAAGTCCAGAGAGTAGGAAGCCTTACGCCACGATAACCACATCGTCACCGAAGCAAGAACTCCTCTGGTATTTTGCGCTATCACCGGCAGCGCAAACCTCGGTCTGCGAAGATGACGAAAACAAACAAGAAAGAATTAGTAAGGGAAATCTCTGACGTAGGTATCGAACCAATCTACTCTACGCTCAAACCAAGATCTAACATTGCAAGAAAACTCGAGACCAACGAAACCCTAACATTCCGAAGGCTTGCCAAAGCCAGAAGTTTAGAGAGGATACCGAGAGGATAGGAGAACGGAGGGGAGGCGAGGGTTGCAGGTGGTGGAGGAGGACGCGCTGCCTCTCGATCGCCTTCTCCATTTCCTCGATCTCTCTTCCTCCCCGATCTCAGTGGTGTCTGGCCGCTGTGGGTGCGGCTGGAGGAGGTGGAGAACCCTGTCTTAAATGAACGAGCAGCGCAGAGCTGCAGAGGCGATGAGGGGGAAGTTTCAGATCCATTTCAACACCTACCGGCAGTAAGAAAACGGTCCACATAGGGAAAGTGGAAGTCTTGTGGATTCACACTTGTATCTCAGTACTATTGGCCCTTTATTTTCGTGCCGAAGGAGAAGGAAGATTCATGCTCAACATATTCCGCGGGCGAAGTAAAATTAGTCGGACGGGTAATTGTGGCAAGCAATGATATATGTAGATCGGCACTTCCCACAAAGAATTTAACTCGACCAAAATTTCCATGGAATCTTGATGGTTCTTCGCTCGCAATCTCGTGGAACTCGTGAATGTAGAAGAAGAAGAAGAAGAAGGGAAAGACTTCGACTCCAGCGTCAACGCCTTGGAAAATTGTCGTGCAGGTGCAGGGGACTACGAATCACGCGTAGCCCTGCACTAAAGAAAGACGAGATGAACGGTCTACATCAGCCGGCCATTTACGAGCTGATCATCACTTGAGGCCGCATGGATTTCCTCATTAAGACAAGCACTTGATGTAGGGATAAAAATACCGTCGATATTTTAGTAATTTATGACCCATATTTTAACATGTTTAATATCAAGTTGATTAATATCTTAATATCATGTGATCGATATATAGATACTTATGAATGATATCTGATAGGGGTAAAAACAAATTGGACGTAACACACCGGATTTGACATAATATACCCCGACGTCAGCCACCCCTGGACGGCACACTGCCCCAGGGGGCGAGCATTAACACCAACGTAATATGCACCCTCGCCCACCGTACCCAGACGACCCCACCGTCTGACCCCGCACGATCGGACGAGGCAGGGGAAGGAGTCGACCAAGGCCCGCCATACCCTGCTGCGGCTCAGCCTCCCACGCAACGCCCACGACAACGACAGACGCAATCGGGTGTACGGCCCTGCCCCGGCAGGATGGCGCATCAGGTAACATCGAACTTACCTATAAATACCCTCAGGCTTCAAGCGAGCCAGAGGGGCACACAGAAGCACGACTTCTCCCAAAAAACTCCTCTCTCAATCACTGACTTGATCGTCGGAGGGGTCGGGCCGAACCGCCGACCCGACCTTTGTGCAGGTACTCGACCAAAGCCGACCCAACCCGGCGTCACGGAGCATTCCAGCCAGATCCCTCGCAATCGGCCGTCACAAGATCCCGGCGGGAGTCACGCCTGATCCCAGCCGTTCGGACCCCTGAACCAGCCGCGTCGACCCCAAGGTCACGGCTAAAAAAGTTACTTACCATAACAGATTGGCGCTAGAAGGAGGGCCGTCTGAATGTCAAGCGATCAGCGAATCCACTTTGGTGAGCCCTCGGCCGCTGGGCTCCCCACCCTAGGGGAACACCCCCCGCATGAGGAATCCCGTGACGAACGCCCCGCAGCGGCGTCGGAACGTTACTAGCAATTGTTCAATGATCCAGGCTTGTCGCCTCCCGACGGCGCACCCGCCGGCCCACCGCCGGTGTCACCCGAGGCCTTTCACGACCTCACTCATCAAGTCCAGGCTCTGACGAGCATGGTCCAGACTATCATCCCGATCGTCTCCCAACGAACTCCTCCGCATGCGACCCGGCCTTCGCAGCAGCAGGAGACCCTCGTCCGGACTCACGTACCGCTTCCCGAGCTCCCTGGCTCGCCTCGAAACCCGATAACTCGGCCCGGGAGCCGGGAAGCAGAAGATACGGCGAGCCGCCCCGAGCGCGAGGCTCCGTCCGCCGACTCTACAAATGCCCTACGAGCTTAGTTGCGCCTCATCAGTCAAAGACTTGACGAAGTACAACAGGAAGTCCGTAAGTCGAAAGGAGAGCTCGGGGTAGACGGACAATGAGGATCCCCGTTCACCCCCGAGATCCAAGATCAGGCAATCCCGTCACACTTCCGCCTCCCCTCGCGGGACGCATATGACGGTGCCGTTGACCCAGCGGACCACGTGGCCGCTTTTCGCGCCCAAATGGCGCTATACGGGACTTCCGACGCCTTGATGTGCAGGGCATTCCCAACAACCCTGCGGGGGCCAGCCCGCGCATGGTATAACAGTTTGAAGGCCGGAACCATCGCCTCCTTCGACTAACTCGCCAAAGATTTCGAGCTTAACTTCCTGGCTTACACTCGACCAAAACCGTCCGTGGCATTACTCCTCGGACTCAACCAAAGGGAGGACAAGCCCCTCTCTCATTTTGTGAACCGATTTACGATGCAAATTCACGGGCTGTCGGATGCTCACCCCTCTCTATTGATGCAGGCATTCATGACAGGCCTACGGCCTTCCAGGTTCTTCTGGTCCCTCGTGAAACGACCCCCCGCCGCGGTCCCCGAAATGCTTCAACGTGCTGGCCAGTTCATCGCCGCGGAGACATGGATGGCTGGGAAACGGGAGGAGCACAAAAAAGTCAAGTCGGAGCCCCCCTGACAGCAACAACCTGCCGCGTCCCGTCGT